CTGGAAACACCTGCATGACACAAAGGAGAGACAAACAAAATGCTGAAGCAAAGCATATAGACCTCAAATACGCCTTGTTCGCTGATGACACTACTATTATGAGTAATAAGGAAAATATGGATGTCGCAAGAGACACCACCAAAAGAGTAATGGGCCTCCTCGAAGAAAAGACAAACGAATCTAAAGAGGAAAACATAATTCTTGGTGAAACCAGTGCGGCAGGAACCAGAGTCTTGGGCCTTTGGCTGGGAGAAGCTGAAGACACAAAAGTACGACTACAACGCGGGATGGGAGCTTGGTCAGAAGACGACTCAAAAACTCAAGGTTAACTAAAAGAACGCAAGCGCGTGTAGTTGAGGCAGTAGTAGAAAGCACCATGTTGTACAACTGCCAAGTACGGACCTGGAATGTGTCAGAAATAAACAGAATCCAAAGGAAAGTAGACCAATGTTACCGTTATGTTTGGAGTTCAAAAACCCAACCACCGCTGAATGAAATGGAACAAAAACACAAAAACAGATGGAATGTAAGGAAAGAACTCAGAATAAAATCAGTCAGAAGTAAAATCGAAAAACGGAGTATGGAACGCCTAGGACATATGATACGTATGACCAACGACAGAAGAGTGAAGCACGTAACTTTTGGTTGGTTAAGCAAGTTAGAAGAAACTGAAAAACCGAGAGCGAAGTACCGTTGTACTCCCAGACAATGGATCAAACTGATGTGCGAAGCAGGAATTGACCAACTAGATATCGAAGAGATGGCAAAAGACAGAAAGCAATGTAAAACGATTATAAAGAACAGAATGACACATCTGGAAAGATGGGAGGAATACCAAGAGAATGGATGGGAAGGAGGCATGATAGAACGCTCACAAAGAAAGGAAAGCGTCAATCTCGGGTGTAGCCAATGCGAGAAAGTCTGCAAATCTAGAGCTGGTCGGGCATTGCATATAAGAAGAATGCACAGAGAGAACAACGCAGAACATACGTGCATCAAATGCCACGCCAAATTCCCAACGAAAACAAACCTGAAGAATCACGAGAAGAAATGTCGAGGAACAACAAGCCCTACCAAGTACATCCCGGCAACAAAGGAAAGTCCACTGTGCAATAAATTGTTCTCAGCAACCAACCTAGCGAGACATATGACCAGGAGCTGTATAAAGCGACACGGGGGACCCTAACAGGGTGAATACCCGAGAGAGAGAGAGAGAGAGAGAGAGAGAGAGAGAGAGAGAGAGAGAGAGAGGAGAGAGAGAGAGAGAGAGAGATAGATAGAGATAGAGATAGAGATAGAAAGAGAGAGACGAGAGAGAGAGGAGAGAGAGAGGAGAGAGAGAGAGGAGAGAGAGAGAGGAGAGAGAGAGAGGAGAGAGAGAGAGGAGAGAGAGAGGAGAGAGAGAGAGGAGAGAGAGAGAGGAGAGAGAGAGGAGAGGAGAGAGAGAGGAGAGAGAGAGAGAGGAGAGAGAGAGGAGAGGAGAGAGAGAGGAGAGGAGAGAGAGAGGAGAGGAGAGAGGAGAGAGGAGAGGAGAGAGGAGAGGAGAGAGAGAGAGAGGAGAGAGAGAGAGGAGAGAGAGAGGAGAGAGAGAGAGGAGAGAGAGAGGAGAGAAAGAGAGAGAGAGGGAGAGACAGAGGGAGAGAGGGAGAGAGGGAGGGGGGGGAGAGGGAGGAGGGAGAGGGAAAGGGAGAGGGAAAGGGGGAGAGAGAGAGAGAGAGAGAGAGAAAGAGAGATGAAGATGACATGTCGACGCAGTTCTAAAGAATTCAAAAAAATCAGCTGATCGACTGGAAACAGCATTTGGAGCGCTATGTTAATACCTTACGGGTGTTCGGCTTCAATAGCGGCATATACGATCTGAATCTTATCAAATCTTAGTTGATTCCGTACCTTATATGTGTTAAAGAAATTGAACCAACAGTCATTAAAAAAGTAAATGATTTCAAATCATTCAAATTTGGAGATGTACAGTTTCTAGACATAATGAAGTTTTTTGGAGGAGCAACAACATAGAGTACGATGGTCAAACAACAAAAATGTTGTTCACACCCTTGATGCTATGCAAAAATGATATAGTTTTACCATGTTAAGGGAGTTGACATGTTGAAACTAAGATGCACGCTTCCAAATCTTGCAAATATCTGTTTACACAAATCACAAATTCTCCCCGTTATTTGAAGGATATAAGGATTTATGTGAGAAAATTAGAGAAGACATGACAGGTGGTCCATCAAAAGTTTTTACACGAAAAATTGTTGTCGATCAAACATACATTCGTAACTCGTCAAACGTTTGCAAGACAATAGTTGGAATTGAAGCTAGCCAATTATATCCATTCTCAATGTGCCAAGAGATCTGAAACTGATCGATTTAAAGCTAGAAATAACAGGACAAGAAATTTTGAGAACATGGATATGTCCTTCTATCAAGAATTGAGACCCGAGTGTAAAATTGAGTTTTTACACAACCGGAAAGCAGAAGAAAATTGACTGTTTCCGTGTTGATGGCTACTGCGATTACTGTAAAACAGTATTTGAAGCTATGGGTTGCTACTATCTCTTCTACTCATGTCAAGAAACCCGTCCATCTTTGTCAGAACAAGATGTTGAAAGGGGAAATGAGAAGCGAGAAATGGATGAATTGAGACGCGAGTTCATAAAAGAAAAAGGTTACAATATTCAGGAAATGTGGGAGTGTGAGTGGTTGGAGCATTTTAAAACAGATTCTTCAGTCAAGAATCATGTCAAGAAAAATTTTCTTTATAGAAGACCTCTGTCTACTGATTCTCTACTTGAAAAAAACAAAGAACGGATCTCTTTTTGGCTGTACAATCGACGAGTTGAAGATCACATTTTAAATTTTCCTCTATTATTCAAAAACATGACGTCTCCCGAAACGATTTTGGAGAATACATGAAAAACTATGCCGAAGAAAATGATTTGCTGAAAAACACGCAACGAATGTTGATTTCCAGTTTTAAATTAGCAAATGGTACAATCATCACACCCCTTCTGAACTTCTATCTAAGTTTTGGACCTCAATGTACAAAAACTTATCGGTTTGTTGAGTACAAACCTAGGAAATGTTTCAACAACTTTGTCCAATCTGTTCTTGATGCTCGACGAGAAGGAGACGAGAATCCACATTCTGGAGTTGTTGCTGAGATGATGAAGTTTCTCGGTAACAGTTCGTACGGTTATCAAATTATGGACAGATCCAGACAGATGACAACCAAATATCTCGGCGATGAAAAGACACACAAAGCAATAAATTTTCAAGCGGATGAATGTTGTGAAAAAAGATTTATATGAAGTAGAACTGTTAAAGTCAACAATCGAACATAGAGAACCAATTATTGTAGGCTTTTTCATTCTTGAATACGCTAAACTCAGAATGTTGAAGTTATATTACCATTTTTTTCATAAGTATTGCGATGAGAACAAGTTCGAGGAACTGGAGATGGACACAGACTCTCTGTATCTAGCATTAGCCGAAGAGAACTTGGAGGATTGTATTTTACCTGAGAACAAAGCTCAATGGCTACAAATCCGTCGAAATGACTGCAGAGATGACTCTATTGTCAACGCAAAGAAAAATTTCTTCCCACGTACATGCTGCGCTGTCCATAAAAAGCATGACAAATGAAAACCCGGTCTATTCAAAGAAGTTTTTCGCTGTACTGAAATGTTGTGCCTGTGCAGCAAGACGTATTGCTGCTATGATAGTAAAAGCGACAAAATTAAATTTAGCAGCAAAGGACTCAACAAAAGAACGCTAGAAGATACTGAGGGTGGACCAATGTCTAAATACAGACGAGTTTTCGATGAAGCTGAAAATTTGAAGTCGACGAATCGCGGATTCAAAACCTGCAACCATTTAGTCGGAACATATGAACAAACTAAAAAAGGCATCAGTTACTTTTACCCGAAAAGGGAAGTACTTAATGATGGAATACATACTAAGCCATTGAACTTGTAAATTTTACCTGTAAACTGTAGTAAAATTTTATACGATGCAATGATTTATATGTTGTTGTTAAGGACTTTTGGACGTCTGTATTACGCATTTGGACATCAACAGCTCCCCATGATTCAAATTCATCTGCTAAAAGTTAAGTAAATTGCGCTCTCCAAATACGCAAAGGCAAATGGCGCAAAAAAACGTGAACAACTTCTCGTTTCGACAGCGAATTTTGGTTTTATGTTTTCCAGCGGAATAAAAACTTTCGAGTTTTATTCGATTTTTGATAAAAACTAAGCCAGTTTGAGGAATATCAATTGCGTTCATGACTTTTTTCTAACTGTCTCTTGACTATGTTTGTTATTATAATTGTTCATAGTTCGTTACTGCCTTCAAGTATCATTAAAAACAGTTCTTCTTGAGTTCAGTCTGGGCTTCTCAAAACGGAGTGCTGGGATCTGATTTATGTATTTTTAGAAACTGTTTAGCCTATGTCATAAAATTATCTGAACTGTTAATCTGTAAAGTTGCAGCAATTATCTGATCATTCTTCTTATGTAGCTTTGAGCGCTTTTTACGAGAAATGAACGTAGTGAGTACTCTTATATAGGTCTTGATGATTTTTTGTTGTTTTTTTTTCAGGAAAAAGTCTTAAAATTTGTTCACGCTCAATTTTGATTTTTTTGCGGTTTGACTTGTGATGTCTTTTCAAGTTCAGTGCAATTCTATTGTTAAAAGAAAGGCAAATTATCGAACAGCAAAATTGCAAAGGTCACGAAAAACTGGATCGACTTCTAATTTTGAAAATGGAAATTAATTATCAGATTTCCCAGCGAAACAAAAGTCTTACCTATTGATCCACTTTTCTTAAATTGGGTATTTTAACAAAAAGTGTCCATCATAAATTGTTCTAAAAATTCAAAGAGCTTTAAGGCCATCTAAATTTTTCTTCGAAATTTAAAATTTTTCAGTTTTTTTCAGTTCCTTTACGTTCAATACTCTTTTCCAACTGTCAGTTGGCTATGTTTTAATGAATTTAGAAGTCGATTCACGACGAAGATCCTCTCTCTGCTGTGTTGAACATGGAAGATCCACTTGACCCTGACCTCGCCGGAAATCCATCCTTCGTCCGCTCCATAAAGGATCAGATCGGCGCCAAAATTACACAGGTAGTGCTACAGTATCTATATTGATATTGGTAAAAGGTTAGAAGAAACAGCGGTTATTGACGTAGATATAACCAAATGTCGTTTCGAGGGGAATCTTTTGATGAATCTTGCATGCTTCAGAGGCTTTATATCACGTGGCGCATTCGGAATGCAAGCTATGAGAAGGTTCCTTTTTAAGGACAAAATTATCGGCAGCCAATAATTTACCTATACAAATCTGGTTGTCTTATTAATTTAGTGTGATTTTCAGGTATTTTTTTTGCGCGGGATAGCAATTTAGGGGGTATTTAATGTCCGAGAGTAACGTAATAACCCTACTAAGTTAATCTAAAAGTAAAACAAGAATATACAAGAGTTAAATAATAATGTAATAATGGACAAGTATGTAACAGGTACAAAATTTAAGCAAATGAAGCAAATATACTCTGCTCATTTCGGTTAGCAGATCTTCGGTTGATAAATTGCCATTCGTATCATGAAATCAATGGAAGCGTGCTATGTTCTATAAGCCTTTTGAATATACACCAGCCCGATTTCCTTACTGTGTTTATGAGCCTTAACTGGTTTATTTGAGTATATTTGATTTTAAAGATTTTGGAACCCTCCTAGAGCTTAATTGTTGATTCGAGTAGTGAAGAGCTCCTACAGATCTTTGTTTCGCTTTGTGACATGATGCAGCCACGTCAATGTTAAGAGGTTAAGAAGTCACAGTTGAACTTTTTTTGGAAATCATATCGGTTGCGTTTGGCCCAGTCCAGATTATAAGGGGATTAGTGTTGCGGCTGCGCGTAGATAATGAAGCACACAGTGTCCACTCCGACCGATGAGCATGGACAGAGTATAGTGAGGGGGGATAATAGGAGTAGAAGGGCCGGCTCCTCATCCTCCTCGTCCTCCGAAGAGAGTATGAGTAAAGAGGACGAGCGAATCAAACAGTACAATGCGTTGGCCGCTGCCCGCAGGAGAGCCACCACCATCGCCGCCAAGTCCGACCACCCAGGGGAAGCAGGGGATGGGACGGGAGCAGAGGATGCCCCCCATAAGGCTGTCCGTTTCACACGCGCCAGATTAGATGAGGTAGTAGCAAAGCAGCAACAAACTGTGCGCTCATGCTTTTGTTCTTTGCGCGATCAACCGAGCTCAACACAACACCTACTAATTGCTTCGATTACCCGATTGAACTCTACTTATTTCTTGCTATCAACGTATATGATGACCAGACGAGAATTTTATCAGCTCTCCCTTCAGATTAAGTCTTAATGAACGTTAGGTTTTTCCAAGAACATTTTTGTTCAAATTCGTTTTGCGGCAAGAATTTGATTTCTCTTTGAGGTCAAATTCCACTTTACCACTTTAATGGACGCAGAATTCCCCCCCCCCCTCGCCCCGTAATGACCAATTGAGCTATTTCCCCCCAAGCAAAAACGGTAAACCGCTACAAAAAGATATCAGTAAAAGCAAGTAGATAGTTGATGTGTTCGTAGCGCGTCTGGTTTTCATTTTATATGAGTATCGAGAAAAATTTTGAAAAAAAAATCGAATTTAAAAAAAAAAAATTTTTGCAAACTTTTGTTTGGGCGACCATTGCCTCATCGAGGTATGCGTCTTACCAGGGATGATGCTTCAGCCTTCTGAAAATCACACACTGTTCTCCGCAGCGCCTTAATATTGTAAGCAATACATTTTTCCTCCTTCGAGGACAGAAAAATGTCGCTTTATATGCCTCAGTTTATTGATTATATTTCACTCTGATTGTAATTTTTGAGCTTTGATATTGGAAATTTGGCGTTCCACATTCGTTGGGGAATCTTTTTCATGATTTTATGTCATCCAAACTAATTTCAAGTGGTTATAAACATGTCTCAAGTACCTATTGGGCTTTATCCCCCCAAGCGAGAATGGGGGGGGGGGATTGCTCAATTGATCCAAAAACTAGACCATTAGTTTTGAAGCTGGCTTCTGTTTTAATGTCAGAGTTTTCGCAGATGTAGTTTTTGCTGAAACTGGATAGTTAAAAAATTGACATGAAGTTGAGCTTTTCGGTCTCCTAAGCTTCTATTCGGTTCCCAGGTTTAGGTTTTTTTTTCAGTCACTTTGACTTCATTTCAGTTGCGAAAATAAAGAGTGTACCACGTGCAAATTTTTTCGGTTGCTTGGAAAGTGTACCAAAATTCCCAGTGGAATTATCTACTTAAATTTATGCAGTCTATATTTGTAAAAGCTACATGTGAAAAGGCACTGAACTGTTAAATTAATTTTTGCTTTAAGACCGGAAATTTTCAAGAAACCTCATTTGTTAGAAGTTAGGTGGAGGAGTAGCGAGTCCAATATTTTAATGATTTATGTCTATTTGGGTTCTTTTTATGCGGAATTTTTGACAAAGCTTGTAGGCTCAATGACCTGCTAATGCCTTCCTTCTGTAATTTTAGGCACTACAGGATGCGTGTGGTGATACAATGGCGAAAGTTTTCTGTGATAATGAAGATTTGAATTATAAAAAGAAATTTTGGCTTGAGATTTTTTCTGCTGTAAACAAGGATAAACGTTTTCTGCGCAATGTAAGTTTAAAAAACTATGGAGGAGGCTAGAAAAAACTTCATTATTTTGAATTTAAATTTTAAGTGATTTTCAAAGAGTCAATACACGTAGCGAAGACTCTTAAATAGGTCGTGATATTTTCCTTAATATAACTTGGAAATCATCACGACCTATTTAAGAGTCTTCGCTCCAAGGAAATTTCTCAAAGTTTGTTCACGCTCAGTTTTTATTTTTCGCAAAGTGATTTCTTTTTTATGCTGTTCATTTCGATTGTTTAAAGGAAGGCACACTCAACTATCGAACAGCAAAAGTGGAAATAGCACGAAAAACGTGATCGACTGCTTGTTTCGAAGTTTGACCTATTGACTCATTTTTTTTAGTTATAAGTGTCAATCGTTAATTGTGCTTGAAACTCAAAGAGCTTTAAGGTCAATTTATTCTTTTCATTTTTTCTTTGAAATTCGAAAGCTGTTTGTTTTTCTGTTTCCTTGCGTTCTTTACTCTTTTCCAACTGTCAGTTAAATAAATATGTTTTCAAAAATTTTTCTGTTTCCTTGCGTTCATTGACTGATTTCCCACTGTTCGTTGGTTATGTTTTTCTCCAGGTGTTGTCATTGGGTTCAATGAGATACTGTTCTGGCGATTGGGTTGACTATGGTTAAAAACAAAAAATGCAGAGCAAATAAAACTGAAAAACGGAAAATTTTGGACCAATTTTTTAGACGGACATTTTTACGACTTCGAATTATGAACAAAAGATCTTTAATATGGTTACACAGTTGACACTTTAAAAAATTGACCCTTTTTGCAACTTTCAGCTAGCTAACGTTTTTTCGTTTCATCGCTCTTAGTTTAAATTGGGTCGGCTCATTTTCCAATTTGTTTTTAAGATCATACTTAAGAGTTGTATTTTTTACTAGATTATTATAACATTAAACGAGGTTGAGACTTGCGAAGAAAGGCTGGAATATTTGGGTCTGTTTGCTTTTTTCTACAGAAAAATTTCAACTACCCATTTTAAGAAATTTGGCTGGCTTGTTTTCTTTAAATTTAAGCTCACATCTGTCTTGTTTTATCAAGAAAGGATGCAAAATTTGTGCTCGGTCTTAGTTTTTCTTCAAACACTTTTCTAGATTTTTTTGACGGGACATCATGTGAAAAATTACTTTCTACATCATAAAATTCGTCAGCAGCTAAGTTTTCTCAGATCCAAGCGCAGAAGGGTAGCAATTTTTGAAGTTTCTGGGTATTGGGCATAGTATTCCATTGTCTCTTCGTCCGCTACATTTTTCTTTTGTTCAAATTCAATGAAAAGTAAAGAGATTTTTGTGTTGAGTTTATTAATCTGAATTTATGCCGATCAGTTTTCATATCCTGTCCCATTCTCTTCTGCATTTATTATATTTGGTTTCTTTTTGAATTTGCAGCAAAAGTAATTTGATCAGTTTGTGAACACAATGGGCCCATATGACAGTGTAGCACATATGAGATAGGGTGAGAAAGAGCTTTCACGTAAATAAAGATCAGTTGGCCGCTTGTTTCCTTGTTTACCGACAATTTTTTCTTTTTCATGCATTTGAGCGCGTAAATTATTCCTATACTTTTCCGTTTCCCTTACCATGGTGGGCTGAGTTATAACCTGGTTGATTTCAAACTTATTGACTGTTCCTTTTTCAATGCAACCTCGATCGTTTGGATAAATTAAAATTAACAATTTGCGACAAATTGTGTGTGAGGCTGGGGTGGGTGAAGGCTACTAATACTAACAGTGATGATGAGTTTGATAATGTGCTTTCGTTGGAATCGTAGTTGTTTTCAGGTGCTGTCTCTGGGCACAGAAGTGATTCCAGAGTACAAGATGCAGTCCCGGCCTAGGATGCACCGCTGGACAGTTCTCCACTACTCCCCCTTCAAGGCCATGTGGGACTGGATAATCCTGTTGCTCGTAATATACACTGCCATTTTCACGCCCTACGTGGCTGCGTTCGTCCTGTCGGACGAAGAGTATCTCATGAAAAACCAGAAGGCACACAGCTATGGGTGAGCGAAGCTGCAATTTTTTGGAAGAATTTATTGAGTGCTGATGTCTGTAAATTAGCGGGAAAAAACGAACTATTTTAAAATGGACAGTCGCGTGCTTCTCAAAATGGACTGACCAATGACAAAAATTAATGGGGACAAAACTTGGGGAATACTGTGGTGTATTTTTACCCTTGCGATATGCAAGGGTATTGCAATCGGGTTCTAGACTTTGTCCGGTTGAATCGGTTTTTGCTTTTCACATTGGTTGTAATTTTACCAGTTCGGTTTGTTGAACTTCATTTTTGTTTTCATTTTTTCCCGTCTTTTTTATCGGCTTAATAAATTTCGGTTAATTAATATCTATTTAGTGGCCTCTTATTGCTTTCCTACGTCGGAATAAAAGTTTTTGTTCGTGTGTGTGTGAGCTCTTACGGGAAAAGGGACTTTTTGTGTTCGTGTGTGAGCTCTGATGGTAAGGGGTAATTATGAATTCAAATCCAATGAAATCAACCCTCCAGCGCATCTGGCGTAGAGGTAAAACAATTGTTCGAGGCGGCAAAGATTCTGGCCGGGCCTTTTCTTTGCAAACTCTTTTTTCTTTGCTTTTTCGGGTTATCGTCCATCTGTTTATTTTTGTCGACTTAGTTCCCGCAGCTCTATGGTTCAGCTTTATTCCAAGTTGCTGTAACCCCCATGCTTGAGACGACAAAGCCTGGGAGTTCGATTCCAGTTGAGACTTGTTTTTCTGGCAAATAGAACGTTTTTGCCAAATTAGATTGTTTGTCTGCTTAATTCTGTCTTTTTAGTTCCACAGAATGTGTGTATTTTTACCCTTGCGATAAGCAAGGGTATTGCAATCGAGCACTATACTTTTTTACCCCGTAAACAACTTTGTCCACAGGACTCATCTGTATTCGTGGTACCTTGGTTCATATTGAATTCAAATTGCTTGCTGTCTCCTGCACACTTAAACTGGACGTAACGAATGTGCCTGGGACGCCAAAGATCTCGGGTTTGAATCTGACTAAGGCCCGTTTTGTTTTGAACGATCAGTATTCCGATTCAAAAAGTTTTTTGATAAGCTTATTAGACGGCTTATTATTAGTCTGCTTAGATCTGGCAACTTAGCCGATAAAACATAAGAATTGTTTTTTTTTTGCTGGAAACATATTTCACTCTAGCAGTTTAAAAATCAGGCCGATCAAAATTTGTTTTTGATACTGGTTTTCATTTCATCAACTCGCTTTTCAAAATTTATTTTTTTTCCTTTTGTCTTTTTTTTCGGGTTAATTACTTCCGGTTTAATCTAGATCGACCTGGTGGCCCCTTCATGCGTCGTTCGGGGATCGAAAAAAATTCGTGTGCGTGTGCTCTGAGTGCACAGGGGACAATTTTTTATTAGTTTAGATTGTTTTGACTTTTTGCGGCACTCAGGTATTTTCGGCTTTGTTGCCGCATGTTAATTATAAATTCAATCAACCATCTGGCGCAGAGGTGACACAACTGCTTGAGACCGCTTTGTTATAGACAAAAACTATGTTTCCGTTTGATTTCAGTCACATTTGTATCGCCAGTGGCGCGAAGCTCAGCTTTGCTTCTGTATGCAAAATGCACGCCCGAAAATGTCACCCCAAACAGTTCATTTTTTTTTGCAATTTTTAGTCAATCAAAATTACTCCAAAAAATACCTGCTAAATTGCTGACAAGAAGTCAAAGGGAATCTCTTTTGTAGCCCAACAAAGTTCAAGAAGAGTATAATCTTCTAAGATTTGTTGAATTTTTTTAATAGCCAAAAATGTCATTTTTGTTATCTAGAAAAACACTAATATTTTATTAGTAAATATTTTTTGTTTTTACGAAGAAGGAAGTGATTCATTTATAAAAGACTCGAAGATTTTTTTGCGGTCTGAAATTTGTTTTCAAGTTCACTTCAGTTCCTTTGTTATAAGGAAGGCAAATTTACTATCTAACAGCAAAAGTGAAAAGGTCACCAAAAATATGAATGACTTCAACTTTTTCAATAGAAAAAATACCCTATGATCCAGTTATCTCAAATTGGATTCTTTATAGTGAAAAAATTAGATATATAGATATATAGATATTGTAATTTAAATATAATTTAAGTATAAATTGAAAAGGCAAGTCGGTGTGTTTTTGTGCTTCCCTGCGTTAACTGACTCTTCTCCAACTCTCTTGGCTAGGTGGGCCCATATGTCGTAATGATGCAGTAGTCTATTTTTGAAAAGTTAATTAAAATTTTCAATATTTTTAAATGTGAAATTTTGAGCCCACTCAATTTAAATCGAGCAATTTAAACTTATAAAAACAACTTAAATTGCTCGGGCCGTATTTGATCTGACGCCAAAGTACAGTCAGTTTACTCATGATAATTAATTTCACAGTTCCGCGGAAAAAGCAAACTATCTAAATTTTCACGACCGTTTTGATGAATTTTGTTGCAAATAGATATGCCTAAAAATTTGCTTTGGAATTATTTTCACAAAATTGCGGAAATTCCCACAAATTGATAGAAAAACTGCTTTAAAGAAAAATTTAAATAGTTTCGGAAAAATTTAAATTAGTACCAACAAATTTTATAATTTTCTTAAATATTTTTTAATTTAGAATTCAATTTCTATTTTTTTAGAAGCAATAGACTTTAAGCTCGGATTGTGTCATGTACGCAATGTGATTTTTGAATGCATGTTTCACTTGCAGGTTTTTTTTCCAAAAATTCGGCAACTAGGGCTTTGCTTTCTCGCGTTTTGGAAGGAGGCAAATAGGACGCTAAAGGAGGCAAAATACTCTGTCTGAAGCTTCCCTGTTGCTTTTGATTGCATGATAAGTTTTCGATGTTTTGTTTGGTTGTCGAGAAAAAGCGTCTATCTCAATTTTACTGTTTAGTCAAAGTTTTTGGTTTCGAATGGAAAGTTTGGGACGTTACAAGCTCAAATTTGTAAAAAAAAAAGTCGCACTAAATGGCAGTTACAATTGTGTTTGAAGGGATTGTTTGGAGGGCGGTTAAAACAGTAGTTTTGGCAAAAAAGTGCTCTTTTGTGGTGCAAATTTGCATAAATTCGCAAAAACTTTCTGCGGAAAAGCCCGCATAATTAGTTGAAAAAGTCCCGCAGTTTGCATCGCATAACATAAATACTTATGCCCGCAGATTTTTGCCACGCCTTCTCTTTAAATAAAACGACGCTTTTCGATCTGCTTGCTGTTTATGGTTTCCCATAGGCTCGCAGTTTCATCTTAAAGTTCGAATATAGGAACTAATTTCATTGACTCAATGCAAGCTTAGGAAATCGTTGTCTTGTTTGTGTTTGCAAAAATGATATTCGTTATTGTCAAACTTGATAATAGAAATCAATATCAGCTCTGTCGAAATTCTGGTTCGTCTCATTTGGCTCTATTCGATTTTAAGTACACTTGCGTCACACTTGCGGATCAGACTTTTTTCCCGTAAACAACTATTCTTAAATCTTACTTTGGACTAGAGGTTACTTGGTCACATTTGCGAGCTAAGCTCTGTGATTCCAGTCACTGTCGGATCTTGCTTTTCAGAATATATGAGACTGATATTGTCGTACTTTTGTTTGTATGCTCATGTTTTGTCGGCTTGCTTGCCACATCTCAGAATTTTCTTGGGCTGTAAACAATTTTGATTATACTGTGTTTTTCATTGTAGTCTTCGGGTACTTAATTTTTTTCATTTTCAATTTTTTCGCTCAGCTGGTGTCTGCTCAAAGATTAGTAACGGTTTGGAGTGATGTTTTGTAACGCATTGTTTCACCTCATTTGAATGAATTGTTTTAAGAGCGAATTTTTGTTGATCTGGTGTTAAGCGATCAAGATGTTTTTTGATGTTGCCATTGACTTTCTTGACAAGTGTTGGTTTTATAAGTCTCGACATCGGGTTGTGTTTCGTTGTGTGGTGGTCACATCGTTCATAATGATGGCAGCCATTTACAAAATGTCTTTTTAGCATTTGAAGGTCTTGCGTAACATTTAAGTCATGTTGGAAGTTGTTTACATAACACTTCAATTGCCTTATTGGTTATATTTAGTTTCTTTGCTGCACCCCCAGCTTGTGCCTGAGAGTTCTCAGTTTGTTATTGCATGGTTGGAATTTGTTTATCACCGCGGTAATGTCTTCAGTGGAAGGAAAGAGGTTATCAAAGCTGACTCCTAGTTTTTATAGGTTTTTGGGTGGTAGGCAGTGGGCTGTTTGTGATAATCACTTTTGTTTGACTTTTTATTTCCTTGTTCCAGGTTGTTATGATAGTCACTGAAAATTTGTCTAAAGATAGTTTCAAATTGCGTTTTTGAAGCCAATTATTTAGACACTTCGGTAAGGTTGTGCCTCTAGCGTAACATTCAAGTCGTGTTGGAAGTTGTTTACATAACACTTCAATTACTAAAAGACCGGAGCTAGTTCAAGTTCAGTGGTGTTCGGACCAGTGAGCGTGATAGAAAATTCATCCACATATGTTGTTAATTTGATGTTTTTGACTGTGGAAGGACCATTACCGGCATGTAAACTATGAGAAGAACAGGCGGCAAGACTCCTTTTAAGATTCATTCATGTCATTTTGACTTCTCGTTTCTAAATTAAACATAAGATTCTGATAATACGATGTTATGAATTTTTGTGTTTGGAAGAGACCGTGCTGCAAGATACTGTGACCCACAGTGCCAAAAGATGCAGCTAAGGCTACATAAAGTGTCCCGCGTGGAGGACGAGGCTGATTTAGTCCGTTTTTTATATCAGTGGCTTTGCAGTTTGAGGCAGTATTTGCTGATCTGTCTTCGAAATCCTTGTTGAAGGTGTACTGGTTGGATGTGACTGAAGTCATTCAGCAAGAATCTTCGAATCAATTTTGGTACAGCGAATCAAAGGGCCATGGGTCGATAGCTTTTTGCTTCATCTTTTCATTTGCCCGGTTTCAGGAAAGGCATCTCTCTGAGAAAATGAAGATGAATGGGGGCGATTTTGTTGACTTTTCTTGCTCATTTTAATTATTTGTGACGACCTTTTCGACAAATACAGTGAATTCATGACGTATGTCGGTTAGTCTGCGGAGCGTGCTGAGTTTCTCTTTATGTGGGATGAGCGGGTGAAAACTCTTTTGCTTATTCAAGAGATTGGCACACTTTTTCGGAAATTTCAATGTTTAATTGGGTTGGTTTTGTGCGTTGTTAGTTGATTTGCCCGCAAGAGCATTGACAATTTTACATAGTTTGTGTCTAACTCCTCTGTAGGTGAGGGTATTGACAAATCCATTCTATTTATCGCGTTCGAATCTATTCACAATGACATCGATATAATTTATTGAAGTGCGAAATCTCAGGGTCAGCATGATTCTTCGATTGTTCGTTGCTAGTGTCGTAAAGCTCTACAGCTTCTCTTAGAATGTGTGGTCTAAGTTCTTTGATGTGGCCATGCAGATTGTGCCATTTGGCTGCCATTATCAGTTGTTTGCGAAATGTAGCTTTGGCACTGTTTTGGGTGATCTGCTTTTGCCAGAAGCTAACTCAGTAGATTCACGAACTGCTTTGCAATCTGCTTTCGTAAAGTTAATGAAATTTCTTGTTGGTGGTTCATCAAAGTCGACATTAAGTAGGTGTTAGCAGGATTGCCTGATGATCAGATTCGCGTCAAGTTTCTGTTGTGCAGCTAATTTTCTTTGCCAATTTGGCACTTGCAAGACTTATGTCAGGTGAACCTTCCTAGTTGGAGGTTAATATAGCAGAGACATTCTCGTTTAAGACTACGTTTTCTGAGTCTTCTGTTTTTTTTAGCAAGTAGTTCCTCTTGCATCCTAAGTTCAGAGAACCAGAGAGGGTTATTAGCAGATTATTAGATCCTCCAATTTAGTAGTTGATTGTTGGATGCGTTGTAACCACAGTCACAGCTTGTGTATTAAGGATGTATACATTAACTAGATTTATTTGAATTTCTCTAGTTTTTCTTTAATTCCGCCTTAATGTGTGAGTCTTGAGGGTTCGTTAATATTTTAAATTCTTCATGCGTAACGTTGTTTTCGATGAGAAAAGCCGAACATCCACCCTAATGCTTTTACCTAAGGCAAGGCTTTCTTCGTTGAAGCAGTACAGTGACGAAAAGGCAGCCATTTTGTACAGTAAGTTCCTCCGGTTCCCGATAGATCATCATCTGCATCTTTTGACAGACGACGGCCCGCCTCAGAGACTGAAAGCGAGAGGGGATAGCAGATTTCGTCCGGACTGGAGAGTTACCGCTAGAAAGATGATCCAAGATAAACCAGAAAATCTCAGTACGAAAGAGTTTTTTCTGACGAATAGAGAAGAAGTGACACTAGAAGATTACCGGCAAAAAGTGGACGAAGATCACTTACACAGACGAATTTGTAATGGCATGGCTTTGGAGCATTCAACTAATCGTTCAAGAGAAGAGGAAGTTTTGTTGCATAGGCTCCGGGTGAATCGATGTAGTAACTTAGCTAAAACAGAGCATCTCTTTGGTCGTATTGAATCTCCGCAGTGCCGTCAGTGTGACAGTGAAGAAGTTGAAGACACAGAGCATTTCATCCTGAAATGCGATAAATGGAATGAAGAAAGATTGTAACTTTGGGCTCAAACCCCATTATCTCAGTTTTGCAAACAAATCCGGACAAAGTTTTAATGTTTATTGGCCGAACAGGACGTTTACGTCCCTCATATCATCTATGACGAGCTCCATCAACAACAACAACATGCTTTTACCGGTTACGATTTTTAGTTATCATTGAGTAGCTTGGAGGTGCTTAGCAGGTAATTTTTTCATGAAACTTGGTTTCTTGAATGGTTGCAATAGATATTTTGTTGCTTTCCATAAACGATGTTGTCAATTTTTGCGCGCAGGTTATTTGCGTTGAGTTGTTTTTTAAAAATATTTGCAGTTGTTTTCTTCACTCATTTGGGGGCTCGTATTTCAGTTTCCGATTCATACGAATATTATAGTTTTGCTCACCTTTTTTATGTGTTTTATTGCAACAAATGCGAAGGTCCGACTAGCTTCTGTAATTCGACTGTTCACTGAATTATTGCAGATACTTGCCCAGGTACTTGCGCTTTACGCTTTCGAATAGTTGGAGCGTTTCCATATTGGCTAAGATTTGTTTTAGGTTAATATCTTGCTTTTTTTCTTGTTAGAAGTTTTAAAAGTATTTGAAGTTCCACTGAATAATTATATTTTTTATGACATTTTCTGATGACATTTTTTATTTTCGGCTCTATGGGTCTATACCCTTGTCTTAGCTACTGATGTTTTTTGAATGCTGATGTGATGTTTTATAGGCTGTTTTTCTGAAATAGTTTTTTATTTTTTTTCTTCAGTTTTTTTTTTCATTTGCTTGATTTTGCTGATTTCTAGATTTATACCGATTTTTGAAATAAGGATTCTTTTTAAATACTGAATAAAGAATTAATAAATTAGTTTCATTTGTTAGAAATTAATTTCATTTCTTTATAAATTAATTTCGTTTGCTATATTTAGAAGATTATAATGCTCTAGTAACTTTCGTTTCAGGAAGAGTCGCTATGATGATCCTCTAGTGATCATAGACCTGCTGGTGGATGTTATGTTCATCATAGACATCCTAATCAACTTCAGGACCACTTACGTGAACAAGAACGAAGAGGTTATCAGTGAGCCTAGTAGAATTGCCGTGCATTACTTCAAGGGCTGGTTCCTCATAGACGTTGTCGCAGCCATTCCCTTTGACTTGCTCATGTTTGGAACTGAGGAAGACGAGGTACGGAAGATTTCTTAAAAAAGGGGGGGCGTGATTCATTTGGGGGGATTCTGCGAGCATGATAGACCCGAACCCCTCCCAAAAGTATTACTTCAGTCTTACGCCGACGACTTCCACCCTTTCGCCAATCGTGTAACTTAAAACACGTCCCTGCTATACTGAGTAGCTGTTTCAGTAAACTACATGACTTTTTTTTACAACGAGAGCACTTTTCCACCAAGGGTTAAGTCAGTCTTGATACCTCACACATAAAGAATATAACCTTGACCACAAAATACCATTTTTAATAAATCTCTCTTTAACTGAGCAAATCCCGTTCGCTTCAAGAAAAACAAAAACGTTATAAATTTCAATAAAGCAAACTGGTGAAGTTTTTTTCGAAGAACCAGAAAACAAATGTAACATTCGCCCGGAAAAACATACCGACGGAAAGTGAAGCTAGATCATAAAACGATTGGCTAGCGTCTAAATATAGCGGTACGTGCTTTTAGCCGTCTCTAACATAGCCAATTCAAGGTGGTTCTCGTAAGATCGGGCCGGCAAAATCGTTACTGTCCAAAGGCTATCAGCCGAACCGCCAAAAAACTAGAAAATTACCTTCAAGTGTCTCGGCATGTTTGTGTTTCAAAACTAGCCTTGTTCTTTTTGGATCTAGTTTTTCTGACATTTTCGATTTTTTTTTTGCATTTCTTTTTTTATATCCAAAGTGGTGCGAAGGTCAACTTTGTCTACTTGTAAAGAACTTGAGTTTTAATTTAATGAAGGACATGGCAAATGAAAAAACCTTAAGCTACCACACGTCAACCAGTAGCTTTTGGAAATGTTCAACCAGAAATGTTCACGTCAACCAGTCCGCTCCGCGAAGAAAATCTGTAATAAAATCATTCCCTATCTCTGTTAATGAAAAAAAAAATCGAAGGCAAGAGAAATAGCAAACGCATTTAACGACATATCGGACAAAGAGCAAAGGGAAACCAAAAGAATATTTGAAAACTAAGTTTGAACGAGCCACTGTTCTTCATGCCATGTGAAACTGACACAGTAATCAAAGCAGCAAAACCATCCACAGCACTGTGCTCTGATGACCTCTGCACAGTCCATTTAAACATCTGGGGGCACTCGCTGGCTATAAGTTTTATTACGCATCTTTAAACCTGTCTGTAAAACTGAACAAAATAACGCACATTTGGACGAACTTAAAGATCGTTCCTATTCAGAAACCAAGCAAAGGTTCGAAAATCTCAGAATTCTACCGCCATGTCAATTTTGACGTCGAATCGCACGACCTAAAATTGCCTCTACTAAACTGAGTAACTGTGTCAATAAAATACATCACTTTTTCTCTTTATTATAATTAGATCTCGTTTTTACCTTAATTTTCTTGATGTCTATTTTGACTCAGATCTTAGTTTCTCCGAACACTGCAGACAATCCAGTGGTAAAGCCATGTGCAGGATATGGGTCGTGAAGACACTGTCGGGGGGCACAAATTGGGACCAGTTAAAAAGATTATTAGTTTCCTATTGCCCTTGCCATGGCAAGGGTGTTGCAATCGGGTACTAGACTTTTTGCCCGTAAACAATCTTGTCCACACGACTCATTTGAGTTTTTGAGTTGACGATTCCTTGGTTCATAATGAATTCAATTTTTGTATTGTCTCTTGCACACTTGCTTGGTGGTAACGAATACGCCTGGAACAGCAAAGGTCCTGGGATCGAATCTGACCAAGATGTATTTTTTAAACGGTAATTGTTCCGGTTCAAAAAGAAATCGGCCTATTATTTGTCTGCTTATGCTTTTTCGGCTTAGCTGCCACATTCAAGAATTTTATGTTTTAGCTGTAATGAATTTTAACTGCAGTTGTTTTTGAAATCTTAAAAAACCTGGCTGAATATATTTTTTTTGCGTTTCACATTGGTTGGAACTTTACCTGTTCGATTTTTCAAAACTTCACTTTTCTTCTCAGCTAGCAAAACTATCTGAGTGGCCGGTAAGCCCAGGCACAATTCTTGGACACCTCGTCTACATCAAGGAGTGCTTACAGGCGTCCCTCAAGCGTCTGTCATCTCACTCACTCTTTTTAAAGTTTGAATAGCCTTATCAGAGGTGTTTGTAGAGTTTCCATTGGTGCAGTCATATTTGTTCCGGATTTATCGTGCGATTCACTAAAATGAGTTGACAAATCGGACAAAACGCAAAGGGAAACAAAAATAAAATTTTTGAAACTACGTTTGAACGAGCCACAGTGTTCCCAACATAAGAAGATGGCTAGCAATTTATCTGAATGGCCGGTCAGCCCAGTTGCAATTCAGTGACACCTTGTCTACATCAATGATTGTGCTTACAGGCGTTCCTCAAGCCTCTGTCATCTCACTCATTTTAAACTGGCATACGCACTCGAAAACAATCGCACGATGCACTCAAATTCCTCCAGAAGTTGGTTTTCAGTCTTATGCCGATGACTTCCCTACTGAGGTCGAATCGCACGACAAAATCGCCTCCACTAAACTGAGTAATTATGTCAAAAACTACATGACTTTTTAGTCTTTGTTATAAGTAGATATTTCCTTTTTAACTTAAGTTTCTTGGTGTGTATTTCGACCCTGATCTTAATTTCTCCGAATACTGCAAACAATCCACTGGTAAAGCCATGCTCGGGATATAGGAGCGCACACTTAGCTTGGTGGTAACGAATACGCCTGAGACAGCAAATTTCTTGAGTTCGAATCTGACCATTTTTTTTCAAACGGTAAATGTTTCGGTTCAAAAAAAATTGGCCTATTATTTATCTGCTTTTGCTTTTTCGGCTTAGTTGCCACATTTAAGAATGGTTTAGTTTAGCTCTTTGTTTTAACGGCAGTTGTTTCTAAAATCTTAAAAATCCGGCTGAAGTTTTTTGTTTTTCGCGTTTTTTTTGTAATTTTACCAGTTCGATTTTTCAAAACTTCACTTTTGTTCTATTTTTTTGTCATTTTTATCGGTTTAATAAATTTTGTCCTTACGTCTGAAAAAGTTTTTGTTCGCGTGTATGAGCTCTGACGGGAAAGAAGTTTTAATGTGCGCGTGTGTGAGCTCTGAGGGGAAGGGGCAATTACAGATTCAAATCCATTCAACCCTCAAGTGCATCTGGCGTAGAGGTAAAACAATTGGTCAAGGCGGCAATGATTCTGGCCGGGCCTTTTCTTTGCAAACTCTTTTTCATTGCTTTTTCGGGTTATCGTCCATCTGTTTATTTTTGTCGGCTTAGTTTCCGCAGCTCTATGGTTCAGCTTTATTCCAAGTTGCTGTAACCCCCATGCTTGAGACGACAAAGCCTGGGAGTTCGATTCCAGTTGAGACTTGTTTTTCTGGCAAATAGAAAATTTAGTCTTATTTAGGTAGTCTGTCTGCTTATTTCTGTCTTCTTAGTTCCAAAGAAAGGGCCTTTTTTTTGGAAAATTGGTTTTTAGTTAGCATTATTAGAGCTCTTTGTAGAGTTTCCATTGGTGCAGGCATATTTGTTCCGGATTAAACGTGCGATTCATCAAAATGAATTGACAAATCGGACAAAATGCAAAGGGAAGCTGCAAGAAATTTTTTGAAACTAAGTTTGAGGGAGCACTGTTCTTCATGCCATGTGAAACTGACACAGCTAATAAAGCAGCAAAACCATCCAGAGCACTGTGCCCTGATGACCTTTGCTTAGTCCATATGAACATCTGGGGGCACTAGCTGGCTAAAAAAAATTATAGCGCATCTTTTAACCTATTGGTGCAGGCATATTTGTTCCGGATTAAACGTGCAATTCATCAAAATGAATTGACACATCGGACAAAACGCAAAGGGAAGCTAAAAGAAATTTTTTGAAACCAAGTTTGAAGGAGCCACTGTTCTTCATGACATGTGAAGCTGACACAGTTATGAAAGCAGCAAACCCATCCAGAGCACAGTGCCCTGGTGACCTTTGCACAATCCATATAAACATCTGAGGGCACTAGCTGGCTATATGTTTTCGAGCTCAAAGACCGTTTCTTTACAGAAACTAAGCAAAGCTACTTGCCCTTGTTGTCGACGCCTTCCCGTGGCGGCAAGTGTAGACTGCAATTCCATGCAGTAACAAAGAGACGACAACGAACACATCAGGGGAGGCCCCGAATTGGGCAACCTCGAAAACAACTGAAAGGGGGATTCAGACACAGAACGGCGCAGAGTAGCATAGAGCTGAGAACGGTGGAGACCAACCCGCGCACGATGAGGAGAGGAAAGAGAAGAGCGACGACGAGAGAAGAAGAGGAAAAGAGAAAGAAGGAGGAAGATCGTGAAAGAGAGTATATACAAGGAGTACTAAGAGAAGAAGGAGACCATCATTGTGACATGGAACCAACAGAGAATGACAATGAGGCAGAACAACCGACGAAAGCTCAGAGAAGTCGTGAATTTCTGTCAGAATAAGAGATGGAACGTGGTACTCATCTCGGAGAGCTCCGCCGACGAATCAGGATTTATCTGGTTTGGCGAAGGGAAAGGAGGCTCTGCAGTGATACACTCGAAGAAGTCAGCAATATTTCGAGCAAGGATGACGAGAGAGTTCGGCGAGCGAACGACGATAGTGAAGATAGGAGACGTCAAACTGATCGGTTGCTACCAACCGGACACGAGCTACGGACCAGAGGACATAGAGCGATACCGGTGGGAACTAGAACAACGAGAGCCGACGACTGGCTGGTGATTGGAGGGGACCGCAACGCAACCATCGGAAGAAAAGAGCAAGAGAAGTTCGTGGACGGGACCTGTGGGCCGTTTGGTCTAGGAAAGTTAAACGAAGCAGGCAGAGACCTCCAATGGTGTCAGAATAACGGACTAGCGTGGTGTGACGCCTTTCACAAGTTCGATCGACGAGGAACATGGCAAAACCAATGAACGGAAAGTGGCACGAGCTAGACCGATTCTTGGTCAGAAGATTGCAGAGAAGCCAGCTGGTGAAGACAGCCGGAGTGGTCCTAGAAGGCAGTCTCCCGTAC